GAGAAGAACAAGCCTGAGGATGCTAACGTTAGCAGCAGCTCGGCTCGCAGCCCCCGACGTCCTTTGTCTGTCCAACAAGCGGTGGGAGAAGCAGTGATTGTTAAGGTGGAAACGCTTTATTCAGTGATGTTTAAGGGTGAAATGCTATTATTCAGTGCGTTTAGTGGTTTTAATCAGCAGTCTGTTTGTTTTGGAGAGGAAGGAGACCTCTGTGATTAATTGGGCTCCCGGTAGAAACCTCCTGAACCATGAACACTGAAGGAATCCTAACCAGGAGAAGCTGATCTGAATCAGGCGGTGCTCAGTGTGTACCTTGTTGTCTGTCCTGATGGTGACTTTGAGTTGTGGCAGGACTCTCTCCACCTCCAGGTTCCACTCGGCTGCATCAACCGTTGACTCCAGAATCTCGTCTGGTTTGGAGGACGGTTCTGCTTCCTGTCAGAGAACCAACAACGTTTAGACGTGAAGGGGTTCTGAATCCTGTTCAGGTCACAATCGTATGAATATTATATTCCCATTCTGACGACGTTACACCCTGGAGCTTTGAATGCATCATATTTCCAGGTGGACTCACAGTGTGAGTGGTTCGTAACTTCAGAGCCTCCAGGTCCATCACGTTCTCCTCCTCATCATCAGGCTCCTCCTGTGATCACACACACACACACACACAGACATGTGAATGAACTTTATACAGGAGTCAAATTGTTCCTTTCGCTCATGATAAACTGTTTTCAGCATTAAAACAAACACTACAGGAAGTCGGGACACCTACGATCATCTCCTCCTCTACTTTGCTGAGGGTGAGCTCTGCGTCGTCCTCTATCACCGACTCTTCTTCTGCGCTTTCTGTTGGATAATTTGGTCTGGAGGAAGGAGAGAAGAAGGACAGGGAGTCAAAAGACAAGAACACAATCAGCTTCTCTTAGAATGGACACGATGAAGAGTGCAAACTGACTGACTCAGTGCTGGGAATCAGTCAAAACCTTTAGATACTGATATCTTGACTTTGATGCCACTTCCTGAACGATAGGTTTGGTACTCAGCCCTATTGACTGTTGATGATTGTCACTCTGCATGCCCCTGCCGTCTTCACTATGAGACCCTGTAGATTAAAGGCTCCCTGTGGAGTTTCTGACCTCTAGTAGCGTTACGGAGCTTTTTCTACGAGGGGTTGTTATCTTGTACATGTGGGTGATTTGATACATCTACAAACATCATATTGACATTAGTCTTTATTTCTGTGATATGATTCGTGTGGGAATGACCAATACTGCATCGCTAGCAGCAAATTGTGTCACACTATCTCACTGATCTACAGGTGGCAGTAATGTGCAAAGATATGCTGCAAAGCCAGTAAACGGGTGTCAACAACGCCGGATTTAAAACACTTTTATGGGGGAAGAAATAAACTTGAGGGATGTAAACGATGTGAAACTTTAAGATTTATCTTTACAGCTAAATATCCGACGTGAAAATGTCCCAATGTAAACTTTCCAGAGGTGAGAATGAAGCCAGGTAATGAGCAGCAGAGGCACTGAGATGAAAACCAACGGGAGCTGAGACAGGAGAGACACTGCTCCAGAGAGCTGAGTGGAGGAGGAATGATTGAGTACCGTCTGAAGGAGAAGCCCCTCCTCTTCAGAGCCTCCTCAGCCAGTCGGTCCAACACGAAGCAGACGTGTTCGCCCGAACCGGACTTCAGTTTGGAGGGCGGGAAGTCGACTTTAACACCCTGACGGACACAGACAAGAGTCACATGAGTCCCCTAAACATCTGGGCTCTGACTGTACGACAGCAGCTGACGAAAACATCTGTTTTATTCACTATTCATCGAGTTCCAGAGCGTCTGCAGGAGCCATCAAGGAGACATTAGAGACTATAAAAACGTTTCCTCGGTTGCAAGAAACTGAAAACCAAGAGTAGTTTGTCTGAAGGAGTGTGTGTTGGCTTTCTGACCCTCCCCTCCATTATTTTTGTGGATTCACTGTGGTGATGTTTTTACGTTTATGAGAGAAATCAGAAGTGCGTCCCCACAAATAACTCAAACCTATAAACGACTAAATGATCTTATGAAGGAAAACGGTTCTCACTAAAATAAATAAACCGAGGAAACAGCCGTTTATTGATCTTTCTCATCGATCCCTCAGCTGTAGAGTCGCAGAGAGGCACAGTGGACCGCAGACACTCTGAGGACATCACACAGGACTGAGCGTCACTCACGAAGGCCCGGAGCTCGGCCAGGACGTTGGACACGGTGGCGTTGGGTTCGTCGTACTCCTGAGGCTCCGTGAACGGCCTCCCCGCCGCGTTGATGAGCCACGCCGCGATGATGGTGAACATGTAGAACTGCTCGCCCGGGTTGAACGCCAGATACGGACTGGACACAAAGTAATGTCTGTACGGAGGGAAACAGATCGTCAGGAGGAGGTTTCTCTTCATTATTGATTATTGATTGGTGTCATCTCCATCAACTGAACCTCTGTGCTGCATTAGAACATCATTATTATACAGATATAGATATATTATAGATAGATAGATAGATTACTTTATTAAACCCTGAGAGTTACAGAAGCTCACATTTCAAACAACAACAGCTAAAAGGTGACAGTTATTGTAAATTATAGTAATTATTAGTACGATTAGTATTGTTATTATTAGATAACTCGTAGTCAGTACTAAAGTCTGAACATTGTATAAACTTTCTCACCATTTCTGGACTATAAAATGATATTAAAATAATAGTATTTAATTATTTTATTTATTTCTCTGAGGTAAAAACTGTTTTGTTGTTTTTATAATAACTTTATACATCATGTCATTATACAACAGAACATAATAAAGTTACAGCTCGAACAGAGACACTGTAGTTAACCTTAGAACAAATATAAAACACACTATAGTAAACAGATATTCACAGTTACAGTGGGGATGAGTCGTCTGCAGAACTTCATTATAATGCTGTTTACCTTCAATAAAACATTCTGTATATTAACATTTATCTATAACACTGTGATTAATGTCATGTGAGGAGTACACACAGATTACAGTCTCAGCAGGTATGAAACCTCAATCATTATGAGGACATGGTGCAGAAGTTTACACTCATTGGGTAACAACTGATAGAACATCTGGAGGATTTAATACGGAAAAAGTTATAATAATGAGAAAATATCTGAGATACTGAGAGAGCATCACAAAGTCATTATATATTATATATATTATATATATTATACATTAGACACCTGTGAGTCAGAAGCTTCAGCTCACACACTGATGGACCTGCACACAGTCTGCTCACCTGCACACAGTCTGCTCACCTGCACACAGTCTGCTCACCTGCACAGGTTCTTCATGTTGTGTTTGGACAGCACCTCCTCCTCATAGTTCAACACCTTCAGTTTCTCCAGCAGACACTCCATCACCACGAACACCTGGTGAGCCGCTCCGGGGCCGCGCTCGTCCTCCTCTCCGCGCCTCCCGTCCTCCGCCATCCTCCGCGGTTCACCCACCTGTTAAAGGTTCAATAAGATCAAAATAACTCTGTCGGGTTTGTTTGGTTTCTGCTCCGTTGTCAGGCAACAGAGAGCTACCGGTTGCCGACTCTTCTCCTCTTCTCACACTTCCGTTTCTGTCTATCAGAGTGACACTATTCGGTTCAGCTGTTGTCTACAGGTCAGAGACTGTGAATGTGACATGACTGTGCAGTCTGCAGCACTTTAACTCACCTTTAACTCACCTAAAGAGAGCAGCTGTTAGCTCTGTTAGCTCTGTTAGCCGAACTACAGACAGCGGCTACGGTTCCTGTTGTCTCACCTTCAGAATAAAAGTCTTCCTGTGGTTGCTTTGCTGCTCCAGCTTTCAGATTAAAAGCGCATTAACTATATTACATTGTCAAAGAGGTTTAAGTGTTATTATGGATGTTAGTTATTATAGATAATATTATGATATGTTTTTTAGTAAATTTGGTTTTATTTATTTATTTTTGTTTTATTTCAGTCAGTTGGCAGAGTAGGTTTGCTCGTTTCAGCTTAGTTTTTACTTAAAATATTTAGTTTTGGTTTAGTTTTTATTAGTTTCAGTATATTATTCACTCGCAGTCATGCAGACATCCAGTCTCAATAAGCACCAATGCCTCCTCATGCTTGTTCTGTAACTAAAGACATTTATTGAACATTTTATTAGTTTGTTTCAACTAGAATGTTTTTTGCTTTGTTTTAGTTTAGTTTTAGTTACCTATAATAACCGTGCTATCTATATCTATTGGAAAATTCTCATTAATCATTCTAATCATTCCATTTTTGGAAAAAAGTCAACATCTGTCACTTGAGATACAATTATACATTAGTTATTTAATTCAGGGCTGAGCTCATGAAAAGTTGACTTTTTAGACATACGTGGTTCTCACAGGACATTTATGCTACAAACATATGATGAATTTATGGAATATAATGCAATAAACTACCCAACAGTATATAAAGTAGCTCAATCTTAAACATCTGCAGCAGTAATATGAATCCAAAGACATCAGATATGACAGTAAAACACTGACAGACTGATTTCACTGCAGTAAATGTTGCTGATAATATACTTAAGTAAGGTTTTGAACACAGGACTTGTAGTGGAGGATTTGACAGTGTGTGTGTGTGTGTGTGTTTGTGTGTGTGAATAATTCATATCTCCGCCGTTGCAGCAGGCAGTGGAGGGAGGGGGGTGTTTGTTTAATCTGCATGCTGCTCCCTGCCTGTCTGTGAGCACACAGGTGGAGCTCCCCAGTGACTGTGTTTGATTGACAGACCTGCTGACTGCCTGCCGCATCGCTGATGACGCTGAGCGAGCCGCAGAGCTGCTCCACCAACAGCCTCCACTGCTCAGCTGAACTCAGAGCTGCAATCATACAAACACAGCGCGGAGGCGTGAGTGTGATTCAAACATATGCAGACATCTGGGAGGAAAATGTTTGTTTAACATCTTTCCACCGGAGTCGGATGGATATTGGTTTCATCTGTGTGTGTCCACTGCAGAGACAGATCCAGGACCTGTTTAGCCTAGCTTAGCACAAATACTGGAAGTGTAGGGGAAAACTCAAAATAGAGTCTGACTGATTTACATGATCTTGAAAATGTGTTTAAAAAGGTTTGTCAAGTAGCTGAATACAGCATGGGTCAGTGAGCAGGTTAATTAACCACAGACAGAATCAGACAGATTAAGAGTAGTTCAATACATTCCCTCTGAAAGTGAGCTGAAAAAACAATCTATCAATCTTGTATCTTTGTGTTTTAGTCCCCCTCCAGTCAAAAATCAATTTTTGTTCTTGTTCCTACAGTTGGATGTTTGCACTGTGCAGAATGATGTATGTGCAGAGTTTGACACTTAAAGCATGTTTTTACATTCATCTGTGTTTATTGAAAATCAGATTTTAAACGTACAGTTTGTACTTTCTGCCACTAGAGACGAGGTGGTGAAGCAGTGTCCTTATTGGGAAGTCGTGTTGTCTTCACTCACCACTATTGGCGTCATTCGCAGTAGTCTCCTCCCGTGTTGAGGATATCCTTCAGTTGTTCATGCTGGTTCCGCGAGCGTTTCCTAACCGGGAGCCCAATTATCCACGAGAGGTCTCCTCTCATCCAAAAACAAACAGACCCTTGCTGATTACAACCACTAAACATTCCAACTGAAAGTAAAGCAGTTCCACCTTAATAACACGAACTGAATACAAGCAGTTCCAGCCTTAACAACTCAACTGCTTCTCCACCACGCTGTTGTGCAAAGACAAGGAGGACGTCCCGGAGGGGCCTGCGACCGAGCTGCTGCTATCATTTTCAGTTCAGCTCAGTTGTTCTCTCTGCCATAACGTTAAGATTCAGTACGCTCCTGATTGTACGTCAAATGCTCCTCTCCACTCCGGTTTCAAATCTAGAAGTTAATAGCACCTAAGATCTAAACAATGTGGGATGGCTATAAAAATGTGGCTTCAGACTTGATACCACACAGTCGAATGTAATTGACAGCTTCTGGCTAAACAACCACAACCACCTTGAACGCAGCTACAGGCACAAAGGGGATATGACGCCATCGACAGGTGACCGGTGAAACGCAGCGTTACCTGAATAAAATTACAGATTTCTTTGAGTTTGACCATTGTTGGAAACATTTGGGATAATGTAAGAACACAACTCAACTACATATAGAACATAGCTGTAGAGTTTATAGACATTTTAATGCAGAAATGTTACATATTAAAATAAAACGTATCACCTAATTGACAAACACCACACACACAGTCTGCTGCCAGTGAACGTGTGCTGCAGCAGCTGTTAATGAATCTCCTCCAGACACCTACAAATCAAACCCAGACCTCAGCGAGTCTTTACACAACCTGTGAGAAAAGGAAACTTGGCTTCTTCTCTGCTCTAGTGTGATTACAGGCTCGGTGCAGCCAGACAGCGTGTCAGCCTGTAGCCTGGCCTCCTTTTCTTGGCTTGCCAGTGTTCGATGGAGAGGTAATTGGGAGGAGAGGCAGAGGTGGATCCACGGCTTAACCTGAGCGAGGCGGTAATGAGAGCCGGCTGCCGGGAGGCCTCGCCTGAGGGCCAGCAGGAAGCTTATCAGCCCGCTGGGCGTCATTCAGAAAGGCTATTTATGCTTTTTGCTCAAAAATAACTGTTATCTTAGAGTCATTATTTCACTGGATATTTCCTAAAAGGGGTGATGGGTGACGTTTTTACTGTTTGGCACCATTAAATGACCATGTGGGGGTTGATGTGGTTGTCAAAGTAATGAGGAGGATATATCTGACCTTGAGAGGTATCGTAGCATAAATGTGTTTGAAAATAAGTAACAAAAATTACCTGAAAGTTACTTTTATCTCTCAGGCATACTTTGTGTTTAAAACTGCACTGTAGTGTTTTATATTAAGAACTAGTGCCAGACCAATATGGGATTTTTGAGCCACATACTGATATCAATATTATTATGCATACTGTATATATTGTTTGGTTGTTTGGTTCAGTCTCAGTTTCCATCAAACAATATGTGATAAAGCCACAGTACACTACCTGCCCAGCACTGACTAGCAGCCAAACAGTCTAATGAGAGGTCTTTCCTGGTCTTTGGACCCAGTCCGAAACAGACTGTGAAAACCTCCTCAACATAAATGAGCTTTAATTAAGGATAACGATGACCTGATCCTGAGTACAACTGAACGTTTCATCAGAGCTGATCATTTGAACAAGACGGGTAGTGTATGCATTAAAACTATGTGTGAACCTATCATGACGTCACCCATTGGTTCTAATAAATCAAATGAGAAGTTGGGTCATTTCTCCATAAGACTCAATACTATTAGACTTCTTTTTTGTAACCAATGGAGCTGCCCCCTGCTGGCCATTACAATAGAATAGAGGTTTAAGACACTTCCACGTTGGCTTCACTCCACAGACCCAGAAGCTCCGTCCATTATTCACATACTGTCATCGGTTCCACCATCAGATTTATCCGTAACGTTGCTGCAGGTCTGACTGCTGGCTGATGGAGGTCAGTAAAGGTGGAAGATTACTCGTCACTCCTTTAAGGAAGCAGGATTTGATGTCATTAACTGTTGTGTGGGCACAGATGTGAGATTGGCTCACAGCTTCATTAGTATTCCACTTCCTGAGCCGCCGTGTCAGCGCTCATTTCCCTAACAGAAGGTGTCACTTCTTTGGAAAGCTGGATTTGTCATTTTGGAAAGAAAAGTCTCTCTTTTTCACAGCTTGATGAGTCATTATGTTTCCCCGAAAACCGACTGACAGGCGCAGCGATTAAATCCCACACACTGAGCTCCATTCACACACACTTACTAAGATCTCTACATTCATACAGTTTACAGGTCTGGAGCTGATGTTTCTGAGCAGCATGTCGATCCAGAAAGCTTGAACAGTACACAGTGTACACAGTACAACAGTGTTCTAACCTTCTGTTCCTGTTTGGAACCACAACAACCCCATTTAAACCTGAAATATATATAACATAATCCACCCTGATGCTCTGTATGGAAGCAAAAAGCTGCCATATAGTTGAAATAACGATGTTGTTGTCTTGAGAAAGCTAAAGGTTGTTTTAAAGGACCAGGCTGTAGGATTTAGTATCATCTAGCATGGAAGTTGTAGATTGAAACTACCTGAACACCGCTCGCGCCTGTATTTAATGACCTGGGGAGGAGAACAAGCTGCGAAGTGTGTGAAGCTATGGTGGCCGCGAAAATCCTTTTTTGAGCCAGTGTTTGGTTTGTCTCATGGAAGGCGACCCACGGCGTCTGTAGATTCTAAGGAAACGAAAACACAGATTTTTATTTTCAGGTGATTATACACTAATAAAAACATCCTTTCTGCCAATAAATCCTCCTGAATGTTACACACTGGCCCTTTAAATAAATATCAAAATAGAAGAGTAATAGTTAGATGTACACGTTATACATATTTTTGTATACAGATATGATTGATGGAAACATTGCACATAGATAATAAAGGGAAACTTGATGTAATATATTAATAAATGAGCAACTTTTATATCCTCGGATAACAAGGTAATTAAATTGTGATACAACTGTTGATTACGGCCTCTATGCTTTTGAAGAAAAGGGAGAAATATAATGAATATTTGTTATAATGGTGTTTCCTCCTGATCATAATTCTGTAGCCATAATGTATTCACTGTATTGTTAATTAACAAATAAAAGTAAATAGGAGTAAATTCCTGCTTGTAACTACCACTGCATATTGATCTGCTGGCCACGCCCCCAATAAGTGATGTCAATGGTAAATGGATCTGTACTTGTATAGCGCCTT